ACCATTAGCTGAATGTACTATCAATAAAATCCTGGGTCGCAAGTACTCACCTTAATATTTAAAAAAAAAAAAAATAAGTGATTATTCAAATTTTCACTATCAATAGAATTTAAATACTCAATCTATTACTTAGAAAATTGCTAACCTGATCATTTTATTAGGTTATTATACCTCAAATATATAATATATATAGATAAGATAACTAATATAAAACTAATAAAAAAATAATAATTAAAAATAATATAAGTATAAGATAAGTTTAAACAAATAAAAATACAAAAATGATCAAAAGAAAAAATAGTAATAGATCTAGAATAATAACAGACATCAATAATAATGAAGTTAGTAGTAATTTAAGTAGCAATATTAATAATACCAAAAGAGAAATAAATAGAAATATATACAAATAACAATATCATAATAAGAAACATTAATAGAAATTTAGAACAAATAGATAAAAACAAGATTCTTAAAAAGAAGAATACAATATAAATAATAAAGATTAAAAATTCTATCAAGATAAAAAATATTCAGATGTTGAGATGATGATCTAAATATTAGATATGACCCAGTAAAGTTAACAGGTTTGTAGGTTCAGAAGATTTAAAGTAGAATATCCAAGCAGGAATATTAGATATAACAATTGGTAAAGAACCTTTGAGTAAACTTCTAAATAGGTAATATAGAAAAGTTACACATATAACTAATTGTATGCTCTTTCTGTAATAGTTTACTAAATCATGTTTACCATTGTTAAATAAAATCAAAAGACCTAAGAGGTCATCTTAATATAAAAAAAAAAAACACATTCAAATAAAGTTAATTAAAGTAAAAAGTTACAATAAAGACAGATAGAATAATAAAGTTAATAGTTTAACAAAGAAAAGAATAACAAGCAAAAATATAATACAAACCAAAGAAGTCAGTTATAAAAAAACAAAATATTGTTTAAAATGAGAAAACAGATGATTAATATACTAACAAAACTGTTTTGTAAGTTAGTAATAAATGTAAAATTAGAAGCAAAATAAAAAGAAACAAAAACAATTAAAAATTTAAAACTAGAAATAGAAATTGTAATTTATAATTAAATATATTTTTTAAAAAAACCAAAAATAATTAAAAAAATATATAATATAACAAAAAAAAACAAAATAAAAAAAATATATTTATAAAATGTATAATAAATAAACTTCTAATTTTTGAAAAACTTAATAAAAAAAAAACCAGATATATACACAACAATAGAATGTTAAATATGTTAAAAGAAAAGAAAAAAAATACAAATATATTTGATTTTATATAAGAAACAGAAATTTTCAAAAGAATATTCAAAAATGATTATTGCAACAGTATGGAAGAAACTGAAAAAAATAAAAAAAATCTAGATTTCTTTATATATATTATATACAATACTTTTTAAAAAAACAGAGGTAGAAAAAATAAAAATGAAAGAAATACTAATTAAAAATCTAATTTCAAAAGAAATATAAGACAAATTAATATAACTCTTAAATATAAAATCAAACTAAGAATTTGCAAATATAATAATAAAAATGGTCTGAAATATGTTTTATAAATACATGTTAAAAATATAATATGAAAAAATTAATAAATAGAAAAAAAAAATACAAATAATAAATAAAGTTAAAAAAGGAAGAAAAAAAAAGATGAAAAGATCGAAAAAAAAAGATGAAAAGATCAAAAAAAAAAATCAAATCAACAAGAATAAAAGAAAAAAAAACAAAAAAAAAACAAAACCAAATTGAAAAAGAAACAAAAAAAACAATGTTAAGGCTTGTCATAAAAAAAAAAAACCTTCTATTATAAACTTTAAGTAATAAGACAAGCAGCTTACTTCTGCTCAAAGTAATGCAGCAAATTGCACTTAAGTATTATTAAGATGACCAGATGATGTAAACTTAGGTATTAGGGATATTTGTGTAATTGCAAATGTAATTTCAAACATCTTAATAAAGTACTAGCGTAACTGCTTATAAAAAAAATATATATATATAACAAAAATACAATTAACCACATTTAACATTCTAGTCATTGTCTAATTAAATAATTTACCCAAAATTTATACTAGCTGCTATACTTGTAGCCTGCCTATAAATTACCAAATTTTAAGTTATGATTTATAGCCCAAGATAATATTATTTGTGTCAATTTAAACCAGGTTCAAAAGAATCTGCTTCAGATTCAATTAACCAATTCGAACTGCTCCAGATTTGTTTGAACCAATTTGAGTCTAAAGAACCTGCACTGAATTCGGTTGAACTCAATTCGGGCCCAAAATAGCTTTAGGTTAGTTGATTTGAACTCAAATTGGGTTTAAAAAAACACACTCCAGGTTCATTTAACCCAATTCTAGTGCTTGTACCTAAATTCGGGTTCAAATGAATCTATTCTATTTTAAAATTTCCTGTGCAATGCACAGGTTTTCAGACAGTATATAATTAATAAATATTTTATTTTCTAAATATACTTTTTTTCTATAACCTCTTGACATCAGAGAAATGTATTTTAAAAAAATAGATTATGTAAATAAACATAATTCATAAAATATATTGTTTCTCTTAATCCCCACGATCACTATATTAAGATCAAAGGAGATTATCGAAAGATACCCTATACCGCATGTGTATAAGTTTCCGCTAATACCCAACGCCATAGGATACTATTATTACAAATTTATACTCCCTTAAGTTCTTTGACTTTTTCCCAAGGAAACTATAAATTAAACAATTAAGATTTGGTGAATAAAAATATGACATATTGAATGTCAAAAAAGAAATTTCTTTAAATTTCTTTCATACCTCCTCACGACCAAAATGACCGTATGAAGCAGTCTGTTCGTAACACCAACCATCCGGCTTATGAAGTCCAAGTTGTTGTACAATAACACCAGGTCTCAAATCGAAGGTTTCATTGATAATCTTCAGCAATTCAGAGTTAGTCTTTTTTGATGTACCATAAGTGTCGACAAAAATAGAAAGAGGCTCAGGTACTCCAATAGCATAAGAAAGTTGAACAAGGGCGCGGCGCGCAAGTTTAGCATGGACGAGGGATTTTGCGATCCAACGAGCTGATTCCAATTTAGACAATAAATTTAAATGTTTTATCAGAATACAGATTGTATAAAATATCTTTGATATATTTAAGACATACAGTCAACCCCATTAATATCAACGTTGTTAACAGTATACTTGTCGGCAAAACTCATAAAGCTTTGGATTGGGGTAATTTTGACTTTGGGATTTGTGAAGGGTTTTGAAAAACTTGTTTTGCCAGCAAGTATAATTTACATCCCGTTATCAACATTTCAATTAAACAAAATTCACTATATACCGGTAAGTAAAATTCTTTAATAACAGTCTCATGTTGTTATTAATCGTAAAGATTAAACAAAATTCCAGATTTATATTAACGAGGGAAGATTGTATTTGCTTACCAGTATAAGCGGCGGAACGATCAACTTTGGACCAATCCTTTCCAGAAAAGGCACCACCACCATGTGCACCGTGACCACCATACTAGTTAATATAGTAACAATAATTTATAATAGATTCTTAACAATGAAAGATTCAAGGGGATATCTTAGGTTATCTTACAGTATCAACAATAATTTTACGACCAGTCAATCCGGCATCACCTTGAGGACCACCAATAATGAATAACCCAGAAGGCTGTATGTGATAGATAGTTTTCTCTGTTAGGAATTTAGAAGGTATAACGGTATCAATAACATATTCTTTTATCATTTGTCTAAGCTTTTCAGTTGTAATTTCAGGGGAATGTTGAACAGAGATGACGATAGTATCAACTTCGAGAGGAACCAAAGCACCATTATCATTTTTATAACGCACGGTTACTTGAGTTTTAGAATCTGGACGGAGCCTAATGATAAAAAGCCAAGTTATAAGCTTAGGTAAGTTCATAAGATAGGTATATAAATAATTCATAATCATGTTATTTTAAGATCAATCGAATGAAGATTACCAGGAAAGAGTGCCGTCCCTACGAAGATCAGCCATTTTCTTATTAAGCTTATGAGCAAGCGCAAGAGTGAGTGGCATATATTCTGGAGTTTCGTCAGTTGCATAGCCAAACATGATACCTAACATCGAAGAGAATTAGAAGAAAGCCAAAAAAAAAAAAAAGATTGGAAAAGAAAACATATGGGATACCTTGATCACCAGCACCGATATCTTCGAGTTGATTACTTTTTTGTGTAAGGCCTTGAGCGATATCAGGTGACTGTTGTTCAATACCGACAAGGACATTACAAGTTTTATAATCAAATCCTTTTGAGGAATCATCGTAACCTATACGCCGAATAGTATCACGGACAATTTTCTGATAGTCTAAACTGGCTGAAGTGGTGATTTCGCCGAACACGAAAATTAAGCCAGTCTTAGTGGCGGTCTCGCACGCAACTTTGGAATAGGGATCCACTTTGAGACATGCGTCCAAAATAGCATCAGAAACTTGATCGGCAATTTTGTCTTTAATGTATGAAATGATAGAAATGTTTATTATTTTTTTTTTATGGAAATAACTTTAGGGTTCTTGATTGTAATATACTTTACATACCGGGATGACCTTCGCCTACTGACTCTGAAGTAAAAAGGAAAGTTTCTTCTTGAGGCATGATAATTCAACAAAAATGTACAAAGAATCAACGATGATAGTGTTAGAACCACAAAAAAAATTTTATCGCATCTTGTACTATATATATAACGGTAAGCAAGAAATTTTCTCGGACGTACAAGATGGAATGTCATACAAGATGTAAATTGCGCAATCTAGAATTGCATGTGAAATAACGTATACTTAATCTTAACTGGTAATTTAACCTATTTTGCCCCTTAAACAGGTTAACATTAATAAATAATTTATTATGTAATCTACGCTGCAGAATTAACGTTAACGTTAAGGTCCTGTCTAAATTTCTATTTGATGATTATCTATTAATCGCGTCGAACTGATTATGTAAGTATGACATCGATCAGTATAAATACGTTTTTGATTCTCTTTATTCTCTTGTAACAAGTTAGATCTAGAGACGTACCTCGTGTGAAAGACGAAACTATCGCACCTGTAAATTGACCAACAATCGTTCACCTTATTGGACTCAATCCCTGTAAAATTTGATCCCGCAATGATTAAATGTAACCAAATATTTGTAAAGCTGATCATTCTAGTCGTTTCGAGAAGATATGCTTTGGTCGCAAATGAAAAAAAAATTTTTAGAAATTATATGGGCTGCCGTCAATAGAAATTAGGTATATCGATATTTTAAAAAAAATCAATACCTTAACTTTCACAACTCATATCTCGATGAATTTTGAAGCTGATTTAATTATTTAATATTCAAAAGAAAGCTTGCGATCTAAACTTTCTTTTGACTATTGAATAATTAAACTAGCTTCAGAATTCATCGAAATATGAGCTATGAAAGTTAAGGTATTGTTTTTTTTAAAATGTCGATATACCTAATTTCTATTGACGGCAGCCCATATGATCCTGGGGCTCTTAAAAAAAAAGACAGTCATTATATTCTATAACTAATCACAGAATCAGATTCTTCAGGACTGAATCCGATAAATTGAAATTTGGTAAATCAATTTACGGTTTTCACCTTTCGTCACTCATATTCGACTTTTATCACATGACTCATGCGAAATCGCGCGAGATTGAAACGTATGCTAGATTATCTCGCGCGAGGTATATCAAAGAAGCAGTAATGTACATTAAAACAAAATTAGATACATATTTGGAACGCGTACACTTATTTGCGCCGGTGATACAAACCCAAATAAGGAAATTGTCTTATGTAGATCGGACATTTTTGGACAAAAATATAAATTAAAAATACTTTTCTAAGTGAAAAATATTCAGAACCTAAAAAAATATATAATTATATATTTTTTAGACAAATTTATTAATTATTAGAGCTTGGACGCTCTTGGACATTTGGACGTTGGACATGGTCAAAAAAGCTTTGGACAGTGAAAAATGTACAACACTGGGTGTAACATGAAACCGATGGTTTTATTCAAAAAATAGCCACTAACCCAAAATTCTACTTAAGAAATCACCTTTAACGATCTAGTAAAAAAAATTCCTCACAAAATTTTAGTATACACTAAGCCTTATTCTAATCCCGATCCTGACCCTAACGTCGTAACTATTACGCAAATAAAAAATAATATTTTTTTTTGTGATTGTATCACGGGCACAAATAAGTAAATTTCTCCAGATTGGACGTACATTCGTATAATTGGCTGATGTAAATCAATTAATTTCCCGGCAGTAAATTTAGGCAAATTTTAAATTCCAAACCATATTTGTATAAAAATATTAGATAAAAATTATTAATATGAAGTTTTAAACTCTTGATCAAAATATTTGAAAAACAAGTATAATGCTTGTGTCTAAATATATTTATAATTATAAATAATTGTCAGTTGATGCTAAAATTTTGATTTATTATAACATTTTTACAACTAATAAAATATTTATTTAAAAGAATAATTAACAGATTTTGTAAATAAGTTTTAATTTAAAAATGAGAAGTTAATTGAAATAATAATTTGAAAATAATCAAAATTAAAATAATAAAAGAAGTAATGAACATGAAAACAGTTTGTAATAAAGGATTTATTTAATCAAAATTAGAAACTTTTTTGATAATCTGAATAATTTGACTATAAAAGAAAATTTTTGAAGTTTATATATACATTTTTGTATAAAAAAATAGACAACAAATTAGGTTTTAATTATATATATATATAAGTTTTTTTTTGATATTAAGATAAGGTTTTGTTTATATCTTTATTAGTAATTTTAGTTGTATATATTAATATATTATATATTAAAGATTTATATTATATTATATTTATATATATTTGTAGCCTTATTGTTGAGTGTTACAGTAAGGTTACAAATATTATTAAAGATATACTAAGATTATAAAATACAAAATAAAAACTACATATAAGAATTAAAACTCAGATAATTTTATTTGTAATTTAAACTGACTAAGATGATTAAAGCTTACTTAAATTTGTAATATTAGAATATAATTATAAAATATATTATAATTAATTTAGAATGTTGACTATATATTAATTTTTCTAATAGTCTATCCAATTGATGAGCAAATATTAGGATGTAAATGTAATTGATTTGCTATTTTACATAAATATAAGTATGTATAGTTTGTATATGATCTTTTATAATATCTAGTTTGTTGTATTCATTATAAGATATTGTGATTGTTAAAAGTTTAAAGAGATGTAATGTTATTATTTTTTCTAATTAGAGAAATTAATATAATAAGGTTTTCATATTTGATTATAGATTTGTTTATTAATATTAAAAAGTATTTAAATAATAGTTTGTGAAGTTATTTTAGTAAATATATTATAATTATAAATTATTTCAATTAAGGTTTTAGGTATAAGGCTTTTAAAAATAAAATTAAAATAAAAAGAGTTTGCTTAAAATGATATTCAGTCAAATAAGAGATAGTTTTGTATTTTATAAGTAAATTCATATAGCTAACTAGTAAATAAATTAAGATCTGCTTTAAATAGAATATACTGAATTAATAAGTTAATAATATTTGTAATAAAAGAAAAGTTAGAACAAGTTAGCTAGTATAAATAGAAGTTAGAAAAATTATATTAAAAGCAGTTAATATTTATAAAGATACTTGAATAAATATTGTAAAGAGAAAAGTATATTAGTAGTTTATTTAGTAGAACTTTAACTTTAAAAGTTTTGGATTGATTAAGTTTAAAGCTAGTAAAATTAAATAAAGATTTTTAGTTATAATTAAGATATAATCATATAGATTTTCAATCTATATAGTAATTAATATAGGTTTATTTATTGGTTCTTTTTTATAAAGACCACATTGCCAATATGTAAGCTTTGCAAATATTTTTGATAAAATGTCTAGTAAAAAGCTCAACAAGATTTTGTTTTTATTATAAAATATGAAAAGAATTATAAATATTCATATTGTTATAGGCCAAAAAAATGTAACAATGCATATGTAATAATACATATATAGCATGAACAATGATTGGAATTCACAAATCATACATGCATTTTGATCTCTTAAAAACAGCAATACATGTATCATTGGGCTCTTTTACGCCAAGAACACAAGACAAAGCAGTTGTGTCCAAATTTAGAAAGGCATTTAGACCATGATGACAATATTTCAGAGAAGCTAAATCCAAATATTAAGGAGACAGATTAGTATAGTTGTAATAAAATAAATTAAAAGTAAAACAATTTAGAATACAACACTTACTTAGTCTAATGAAACCTGTAATAGTATAATTGTATAGTAGTGAAATAGTAGAAAAATAGGAGGACAGACTAAATTTAATAGAGAAATTGTTAGTAATATGAAGTTGTATAAAAAGTAAGTAAAATTTTAATAAAGTACTTATCTTTTGGTGCCTTAAGTGATTAGAGAAAGATCGAAGCCAGTATAATAAAAGTAGATAGTATAGTAGTAGTTAGTCTGATATTCAAATAAAAGAAAATTAAATAAACAATAAATAAAAAATAAATAAATAAAAACTACAGTTACTTCAAATCAGAAACTAAAACAAGATTTGGAAACTCTGATCATCTTCTAGTTGAATGTACTCTAAGTCTAGAACAAAAACCCAAGCAATCAACACTCTGAAGATTCGACCCAAATTCTTTTAAAAATGATATTTTGAAAAAAGAAATCTTGGATGAAATTAAAGATGCTAATTCTGCAACAAGCTGGAACATGCATAAAATCTACATCAAATCGATTATAAAGGCTTTTAAAAAACCAAAAGCTCCAGAAGACAAAATAGAAAGACTCAACAAGAAAATTAATTATTTAAAAGAAGTTATAGCCAAATCTCCCAGACAGATGCATCTCTTTGTTATACTAGAAGATCTTAATTTATAAGTCTAAGCAGAATTAACTAATCTAATACAAAAATGGCAGCATCGGTCAAAAATAAACTGGATAAAACTAGGAGAAAAATCAACTAAATACTTCTACTCATGCTTTAAAAGTCGAAGCTCATGTTTAGCTCTGACAAAAATACAAATTCCTTCAGCTCAAGAACAATCTAATGAAAAAGAAGTGCTTAATTATATTAAAGAACAATACTCTATGATATATAGCAAAGAAGAAATCAACAATGAAATAGCAAAACAAATTACTAAAGACCTTTCACAGGTCTCTACACAAATGAACAAAAAACTAACAGACCCTATCTCCAAAGAAAAAATCTTATCAATTATCCAAAAACTACCAAATAACAAGTTCCCAGGACTGGATGGCCTTATATACGAATTCTATAAACTCACAGAAGAATACATTACACCTATTTTAGAACAAATCTTCAATCAAGTATTAATCTCAAGAATAATACCCTCCTCATAGTGCAAAAATCTATCACACTAATACCAAAGAAATCAAAGGAACTACACAATATAAACAACTGAAGACCTATCTCACTGGTCAACTGTGATGCAAAAATTTTCATGAAAATTATTGCCAATAGACTAAATACAATTTGCGAAGTAATTGTATCTTAACATTAGCAAGGCTTCATTACAAACAGATTAATCACAGACTTC